CACAATTAAAGAAATGTAGGAATACACAAAACAAAAGACCTTCAAAGTTTCTAATAGTTCAGTAAAATGCATATGGTAAACTTCGCTGTGTGGGACTGAACTTTTACCAAATTGCTGTGGCTAATTCTCTGTTACAGGAAATCTCTTCGTCACTGTAACACCAGTGTACTGTACCCAGAGCGGACGGTTATATTTCAAACATCCATGCTCAATTCCTGTTTCAGTAAGCTGCACATTTAAGTCACTCCTTAATTTCAGATCTATAGATTTGAGCATCATTGAATAAATTGTTCCTTCTTCAATCATATTGTTTACTTAAAACAAGCTGAGGAAATAAAAATTCTTAACAAATTGTCATATTTATTATTAGAATTGTGAACAACTGACAGGACAGGGGCGCTTTAGGGGCCAATTGAACTTCAGCAAACCCCCCCCCCCCCCCCAGCCCTGCTCCTGGATCCGCCCCTGATGAAATAGTTGCTAGTGGCAGTATCAGCGAAGAAGAATTGCATATCGGCATTTTCTGAAGTATCGGAGGCATCGTCGATGCTGGTATCGGAACATCTCTAGTAGAGTTGACCATCCACCCCTCCCTCTCCGTCTTTTGCATTCACAATGCCCACTGGATGCAATATTTCCAGAGCAGGGAGAGAGGGAAAAATAAATCAACACTATAAATCACTTGTTGTGTACGGCCTGTGCTTCTGCTTCCTACCTCATGAGGACAGCTTTTTCTTTTTTCTTTTTTTAGACGCCCTGGCCTTTGATATCTATACTCCGTCTTTTGACCGAGCACATTAAATTCCAGGGAGCTGTGCACTTTGTTATGTTTACCACCTTTTCCAGCAGCCATAAAACCTGCCTTGTTTTCTGATGGGGGTGAGCCATGTCGCGTGTTGAGAATAATGCCCGTGCCTGGAGAGTGCAGCCGTAGTTTGTCACTGCGGAGTGACTGCTGCTGATAGCGCCCTGGTTGACCGATCCTGATTGTCATCCGAGCTGTGACGAAGGAGTAAAACAACACGTCGGCTGCTCGGGAATATAAACAGCACTTCATTTGAAGTCTGGCAATAATTTAGATTCTCACTTGAAATGTTTCTTCTTCTTTTTTTTCACTCCCAGCTGACTTAGATTTAATAGAGACTTTTCTGAAAGGTGTCCTGAAGGGTGGCAGTTTCTTTTGTGTGAGCCAGTGGAGAATGAAATTAAATATGCATGTGATTTTTTTTAATGTTTTTTAATATGGATGGCTTCAACCAATGTTGTAGGAGGAGAAAAAAAAAAGCTTCTGGTGATTGATGATAGTACAAAGCAGAAAGTGAGGTGTACATTCTTCTGTGACTTTGCTTCTCAGACATTTTTTACTACGAAGATAATGAAGGAGGTAGAAACACGTGGATTGACTGAAGCTGTTCAAACGCTGCGGTTACATGTGTGACTTCCTTAAAAAAAGGTTTTCATAGTTTGTTCGCAATGTCGTCTTAAGACTGATGTCACTTTAAAAACTTAACTTTAAGAACGCGTAAACGTAAAATACTGCGGTAATGACTAAGACGACAGCGATATAATGCATGTTTCATCAATAAAGATGTCTAATATGTGTATTTATTTATACATCCATCGATCATCTGAACCCCTTATATCCTTTTGAGGGTTATGGGGAGGGGCTGGAGCCAATCACGAGGAGGACATGCAAACTCCAGTCGAACCACGATTCGAACCGGGAACTTTCTTGTTGTGAGGCGTCAATAACATGTAACATGTAAACGCAATAACATGTAAAATGACTGCTGTGACTTCTAACATGACTTCAGTACCTTTGTAAGGATTCTGAACCCAAGATACAAATATCCACAAAAACTGTGACTATAATAATATGTGATCTGAACTGAATTGATGTTTTATGTCCAAAAACAAACTAGAGTTCTTAAAGTGCAATTACACCCTCACCCCTCGGTTAGACTGATGCAACACAGCCATCAGTGATATTTGGTGTAGCTCCTCTTTTCTTCTTTGCACAGCTGCCTGACCAAACATAGACGACATTATATC